TTTCCCTTGATCGCATTTCTCTCTTTTGCTCTTCTAACAGCTCATCATACTGAGAGCTCAGGCTCTTTTACTCTTTCTAGACAGCGTTTCCTTAATGCCACTGTCAGAGGCAGTACTAAATCAGAGAGCTGGTCTGACTCAAAAGGCTGTTTCTTAGGACAGGTTGGCTGGTTGTTAATTTTTTTTAAGGTATTGAAACATTGTTTTGCCTGCACAAGAAGTCCTGCTGATTCTACCAGTGCTACAGGGCTTGTATGCCTACTGGGAGTACTTTTCTAAGGCAGTAACGTGAATGAACCTTTCTTGTAGGATATTAGTAACTGTTTTAATTTCCTCACTACAGGTTGGCTTATCAAGATGACTGTGGAAAACCCTGCCGAACTTGATGAACTGATGAATGAAGATGCCTACGAGAAATACATAAAATCCATTGAGGACTGAGCTGGAATAATGAAATAAATCCATATAAAATATTTCAGTGTAGTTTGTCATCAATCAGTGAAGTAGAGAATATCAAGTTTTGACAACCTGAAAAATACCACTTATGATCACATATACAAGGCCATAAATAACTGCAGTGATAAAAGTGTTTAACATCTGCATACCTGCAAGGGTTTTTTTATTCTAGATTGTCTGATTTATGTAACTTCAGGATCTTATGTATGATATTTTGGGAAACAAAATTTATTTACTAAAATATATACTTCCGAAGAATCATTTGACAATCAGATTTAGTAACAACAGCCTTAATATGGTAATTCTGTTGTAGGCACGTGACTGTCCTTGTAACCGGGACTACAGCTTTTCCTGAAATACTTTTCTGTTGCTCCCAAGATACTGAAAAACCAGTGCCTCCCTACCTTCCTAATATTTTTCCTAATTATAGTTGCAAAGATGATACCAAAAAAGAAGCCATATCAACTACCTCTTTGCATGATTTTTACTTCATTACAGAATTTATTAATCCTTTATGTTTTCCTTCTTCATTTTTCTATGTAATCAAATAGTTCTGCCTTTGAGGCAGAAGGGTAGGGTCCTTGTCTTCTGATCTATGTGCTTTTTTAGTATGCAGAACTCGTGCAATGGTAGTTTATCGAGGTTCTCGAGTGGATTACTTCGGCTGTATTTTTTGTCTGGTAAACACTGCCTATTGTCACAAGTAATTAAGGAATTCTATATCCTGTGCCTAGCAATTACGGTGATTTACAAGAGTAGATACTTCTGAAAATTGTGTGATCAGTAGTAGTTTGACATATAATGCATCCGTGTGTGTCTGTCTTTTAAGATCAAGTAGGCACACTGCTGTACTAACATCACAGGAATGAAGCTGAAACTTTCGCTTTGCAAACCAGTAAACTAAAGCAGCTGGCTCCATTAGACTTAATATTTAATGAATCCACAAATGTGCACTCAAAGTTGATGTGACATCCAAGGGTAAGGTTGAGTTGTAGAGACCTGCACTTTAGGAAAATGTAATAGTACAGCAGAGTTCTGGTCTAAACCTTTTTTCCACAATTTTAAAATAGCAATTAGAAGCTAAGCACAAAATGGGAGCGAAACCCAAGTATCTGTAAGTTGATGTAAGAGGAAGCAGGGGAACGTTTAATCCGCATAAGATGACAAAGGCAAAATTCGTATTCCTTTGGAAGTTACTTTCAAAAGCACAGCCCTTCTAAAGGGCAGAAATACACTGCAGGTTATACAGAAACCTTTCTAGCGTGTAACAATGTAGGTCTGTCTTTTAAGATCTGAAGGGATGTCAAGGTAATTGGTGTGGTTGGTGGTTTGTTTGTTTTGTTTTTTTTTTAAGTCTTAGGAGCTAATTTTTCCTACACGAGTCACAGATAAAAGCCCTGCCAAGAGAGACTCCACTGTGTATTTAAGATAAAACTATCTTCTCCATAGGAGTTAAACTGCAAAGTGACTAAGAGGAAAGAGCGGGTTTGACTGTTCCACAGGAGTCCTAACTTGGCAGTGGCTGATAAACAAAAGGCTCCAGTAAACCTCATGTAAATGCTTTAGAAACTGGCAGTGCTTATCCATCATGCACAGTATCGTGCAGTATTTATTGTGACAACAACGTTCAGGGCCCGGAGAGCTGGGAGCTTCATCCTGGCCTCTTACAGACTCCCTGCATCACTTTGG